CTAATTTTTAAAACTTCCAGAACCTTCACTGAATTTATGTATCTTCAGCAACCTTTAATGCTTACAGTAAAAAATCATTTTGTTTTTGAAGATTTATTTCTTAACATAAGGATTGTTTTTTCCAAAGCAGCACATTCTTTTACATTATGACAATTAAGTAATACTACAATATTATGACAATTAATTACTACTAAAATATGTCTTCTAAAGTTCTAAAGAGTATCAATAAATTTTGTGTTTTGTATTAAAATACACTTTTAAAATGTCAGTTTCTAAGAAATTTATAAAATGAACACCTAATGCAATATTTTGACACAGCCACAAGTGAAAGTATAACACTGCTGGTGTTCACAAATAAAATGAAATATTTTATGATCTTACATGTAAAATAAACAAATTTTACATTTATTTCATATGTTTTTAATGATTTTAAGCCATTTTGATTTTTTTCTGTGTATCATCATATATATTACTTTATCACATTATGTTTATATTCAAAAAATAATTCTGTTACAGTATTTCATTAATTTTGTTTGATTTTTAACGTATGTGCAAATATTTAAGTGCCTCTAATCATATATCACATTATACTTATAATTAAGTGTATTTCTCACAATATTACCTTTATTACATGCTTTTCAGTGGACAGTGAAATTATAAAATATCATTAACAGTAACACAGTAGCCAGACCTATCTGAATGCAGATGAAAAGAATATAACTTAAAATATATAGAAATACCGTCAAAATACACATCATTATGAGTAAAAGGTGCTTGAATACAAAAAACACATAAATATCTAGTTATCTACATAGTCATATCAATTAAAAAATGTAACATTATGAGTAAAAGTTTACAGGATTATTTTTCAATAAGAACTATGTGACATCATGATTTTATGACATCATTAATGAGAGCGCATGTCGTTATTTGGCAAAAGTCAGGAAAAAAAGATTAAAACTGATAAAACAGGATGGAATAAATAGAAAATTTGTTTTTTTTATGCAAAATCATATTATATTTGTAAAATTATAGTCACAGAACAATTTTACTATTAATTGAATTAATGATATTATGATTTATATCTTTTAAATTTGTGAAATGTCTAATGTGTTAGTAAATAATTCTGAATAACATCATGTATTTTTTACCAATACCTATTTAAATTAAAATAATAAGAGACTTAAAGCTGCATGCCTGAAGATGAACCAAAATATGTCAATAAAACCAAACCGAACAAAAGTATTCAGTAAAAAGATTTCAAGTTCCAAGTTATGTGCGAATTATGACCGATTTCGCAGTATTTTTCAACCTTAGTTCTATTGCATTACTAATGCAGTATTAAGGGCTATTTTAGCATATTTTGACCTCTTTTTGGTAATTAACATGGGTTGTAAGTACTGTTTACAATGTGAAAGTTATTTTCTTTTTTCACTTCACAATGTTTTACTTTACTATAACACATTTTCAAATTTTTCATGAAAATTAGCATTAATCTGGAGGCGTGCTGCTTTAAAGGATTTTAAAATTCCTATAATGGAGGGTTAAAGCAGTCCTTTAATTGTGCATCAACAAGGATGCATTCACAGCCCAAGCATGCATGCACAATGCTTTCTAGCACAAAGTACCATAATCATGTTCATCATTTCATTATTTGTGTCATTGCAGTCAGTAATCCTGAGTCATGCATATAAAAAACTTGCAACAAAAGCTTTTGCCTCAACATGAGGATTAATATTAAGAATCTGCAGATTTCACTTTTAAGAATTTGTATTAACACAAAAGATATGACTAGAATGAAAGTTATTATCCAATTTTTGTGTTTGTATGAGGTTGCTAACACTTACAAGTACCAACTATATATTTAAGTAGGGTATAAATCACTGATAATTATGCAAATATGTAACAATATCAAATTATACTTTATATTATGGTCTTAGAACCGCCCGAAACCCTGATATCCCTTCAAAAATATTATTTAAGAAATCAAATTTACTTTCTAAAAGTAAACATGATATTCTAACTTGATAGATAAAAGATATTCTTAACTTTCAAGTTATTGCAAAAGTAATCTATCTTAAGATAGAATAGTTTTGCACGAGATTTAGGAATCAAAGGGACATACTTTATAGTGTTAAAGTATTCTAACTCAAGATAGAATAGTTTTGCACAATAAATATTCTGGAAAAAGTAGCTTTTCTAGTGCAATACTAGGCTATGTTAACATGTAGGCAATAAAATGCATATTTTACACTTTTCTTGAAAAAATGAACATGTACACAACTTATTTCTATTTTTTGATAAGATTGGTTGTGATTTTTTTTTTCAAAAAATGAAATCAAAATAAAATAACATATTTTTTCCATTTCCTGAAAATTTTTCAAAATACAAGTTAGAATAGTCTTGCGCCGAGCCCTCGATATAGTTTTATCAAGGTATGCTTCACTTTACTTCATGGCATGTTCGATGAATAAATACGAGCGTGTCAGATTCCTGGCACGATTATTGGTGGACTTTTCCTAATGGGTTGTCTTCAGCGTTCACGTCATGTCATAGTATATAAACGGGTATGCTGAAGACCTTAAAGCTAGGTTTTTTCAATGTAAAAGAACAATGCTAAATTCATAATTTCAGTAGGAAAAATGAATCCAGCTGCAATTTTATTTGTAGTAAGTTGGTGAGAAAAATATACTAAATCTTATCATAAAAACCCCATTTTTCATTGCATTATAAGTCATTCAACTGATAAAATCTCAAATTCCGATATTTATTATTAAAAATTATTTGGGGTGTATAATGTCATTATTACAAATCACTACACAAATCTAAGTAAAAAAAAACTAAATTTATAATTTAAACTTTCCAATCATTTAATGTCATGACATTCATGCATGCCTGTGCATTTGAAAAGTTTGCATACTATTAAATGCTATGTATAAATTTGATATGTGCAGTTACATACTTTATACAAAGCATAACTATACATAAATCATATCACAAAGGACAGATATATTTTAGGCTGTATTCCAAATCCGATATAACTACAGTTATTTTCCCAATTTCAAAAAATATTCTTTTACATCTACCTGGTCTAATTTTTTAGAAAAAGTGAACTTTTTTTAACTTGTCTCTTAAAAGAAGCAACAGGCAGTGTGATCATACACTTAAATAAAACACAAAAAGTCAAATGTATTTAAACATAAGTTTTAAACTTTTTGAAATTTCCAAAAATGTCTGCACATGTCACTAATTTCCTATCCTGTGAAAGTGCACAATAGCTTCATTAGCTTGAAAAGGCCTTGTAAACTGTGTTAAAATAATAATTAGGGATTCTTGAGGCTCTGTTCATTCTTTCTCATCTATAAAATTATAGAATTATTATATAAAAATTATTAGCATTTTCGATTGTTTTAATTCTTAAGCTTTAAATTTGTGATAGTCCACTGTAAATTTGAGGGTTTTCAATATAACAACAGGCTAAATCCTGAATCAAGATGCTTTAGCTGTAAAAGTTTTTTGTACTGACTGGAATTAGCTTGGAAAAACCCACTTCTGCAAAGTTACAGTTAAGAACTTTAGAGCAGTAAAAAGGTAAGATTTGATCAAATGTCATGGATGTAATGATGGGCTGGCCTATTTCTTAATCATAGTTTGAAATAGGACAAAGTTACAAACTTATTCATTATATATTCTAGACTTAAAAATTAAAAAAAACTAAATGTAACCACCCTAAATATCTTAAATGGACTTGCCGGTCTTTCAATCTAGACAATACCGTACCATTCATTATTTCAGGTAAAATTTCAAAATATATATTGACTGAATATCACTGATTTGCAAACAGTGCAGATCATTATCAGAAGACATATATATGCAAGCTGATCTTGGTCTGCACTGGTTGCATGGGTAGATTCTGTAACCTCAAGTCTAAGGGCTTACGTATTATAAATTGTAACATTTTTTTGTTTTTAACTCATAATTATGCACTGCACAATCTAATTTCAATTTGACTGCATACTTTAATCTTTATTTCATGCATACATGTAGTTATTAACTGTTAACTCAAACTTTATGCATCAATAGGATTTTTTTAAACACTCGACAAGCATAAAACATTAACATTATCAATCTGCCTCAAGAGAAATGTGTGCATACAATGTTTACAACATGTCAAACATGATCTAGGTTTAAAGCAATCTGTATTATACACATCAGGAATGTGTAAATTATTTGGATGTGAATGAATTCATACTGTATCATGACATCAGTGACTGCCGTTACCTCCCTCCTTGCAATGTTCAGCTAGTGATAAAATTCCTTGGCTTGATATTTCAATAATTAAATATTAAATTGTAGGCTAGCTATTAACTTTTTGGTGCTAGCTGAAGTAATATTTTACTGCTGTTTCAACACTGTGTGGCATCCTTATAAATTTATTTATATGTGACCATTACACTGTGAAAAAGCATATAGATCTACAGTAATGTTAATTTAGAAGATCAAAGGTTTAAGAAATACAATTTAAGATTGCATTAAAATCTTTCAATTCATTATTGATTGGTTCAAATAATTTGTTAATTGACAAAAAAGTAGAGAAACTGCAAAATAAATGTTTCATAAAATATATATATAGATTTCTATTTGAAAAATACAATTTAAATTAATGTTCAATTCTGTACATTGACAATGTATACAACCATGTCATAACAAATAATTTGTATATTTTAACGTTTTACAATTTAAAACTTAAGCTTTGAATTCGTTAATAATTTATAAAACAAAACCACGGACTGAATCATGATTTAAGCAAGTCATGCCTCAATGTCAATGCATACATGTAGTATAGTATACGAAAGATACACCCCATACAAATATTACACGTAATCGGTCAAGTCACGTTTACAATTTATATTGTAGAAACAGACGCTTGAAAGTCATGTCTAAAAATCCAATTTTTGGTGAAAGAAAGATATGACAGTTGATAAAACAGAAACACTCACCCGTCCTTTCCTATCCAATCGTGGAATTTAATATCCCCAGCAGTTGTCTTTGCTGAAAAGTTAGGAAATTCGTCGCCTAAATTGAACCCCATTTTGCAAAATCTTTACACACGTTCCGTAATGGCTGTTCTTCGCTGGGCATGCGCAACTTTACAAACGGCGTTTTGGGCGCTAGTTTTATACAAGGGAGATAACTTTTTCGCAATATTCTTACGTGCTAATTAAATTACGAGACTTTAAATATCAATATACTCAAAAAACATTTGTCTCTCACCCTTTAACCCATGAATGCATGATTATTTTGTGAAAAATGGCGAAAAGTCTCCCGTTACAAGTTTAAATTGCTATAAAACTATAAAATATGATAAACAAGATCAACAAGGAAAGGCGGCAACCCCAACACAACCCAGGAACAAGAACCAGTGGCAAGGAGCCCAGGCGGACCCCAAACAAAAAAAGGACAGGGCACGGACAGTTAAATCACTTAAATCATACATAATTTGTAACTGATAAGGAATTCAAAGAAAACAAATAAACGATTGAATAATAGGCCCATGAAGTCAAAGGGCACTGGAGACCGGGGGAGGATGGGGGGCGTTAATCAAAGAAATAAAAACTAGGGGGCAAAGGGGAGGATACTTACAGTAGACGAGAAACCAACAAGGGACACAAGAAAAAGTGTCACCAAAACAGTATGAAACAACATAGACATACATCTGAGGAACACAGAGGGGCGCCGCCTTGGAACGGTCAGCAGCATATTAATGACTGCTTGGGAGTTTAAACCGTACAATGGTGCACCAAACCTCGCTCTTAGCTCCCACCATGCCCTTGCCGTGTATCATTAATTAGTTCTACCTGTAAGAAGCCATCCTAGCTTTGAACTTTTGTTATGTTGGGGCAACACTTTCTCAAGATAATAATCATTACCGATAAGAAGATCTATGCTAGAGTTTCATTTCACTAAATGCTATTAACGTTTCGGAAGTGCAACAGTTACTGGATTTCTCTATATTGATCCACTTATTGTAGGCACAATGTTTACTGTAATTTCAAACAATTCTCCATTTACTAATTTAATATTTAATTGCACAGACTTGTTTCATACGTTTAGTTTTATTATTACCAACTATTACAAGTTTTAGTTCTTGTTCGGAGTTTGATTTTTAGAGCTTAAATTAACTGGGTTTTTAATCGTTCGGGATAAAGGTTTTCTGTGACCTAGAATTGCGTAACAATCTTGCTTATTCTCTTACAATGCTATTAGTATTGCTAACTTCTGTTGTAGCAGTCTGCATTAACAGCATTTCGCCTGGCGATATAAACACTTATTCTTGTAATAGTCGTCGTTTGCCTCACTTATTTTTTTTCTGAGAGATGTGCATTTTTTGGAAACCTTTTGGGACACAGACTTATTTTAAAAATATTTATTTCAATATTTTACATATATTATTTTTATATGTATATAATTGGTACATAAATTTGAAAGACACAGACTTCGGCGGCGTTTATTTTGTTCACCCGTTATGAACATTATCTTTAATTGTTTTACACTCGGGACCTGTATCTCTCACAACAATACATTTAACCAATCAATCGTTTAAAGATAAGGTTTAATTTGTTTGGGTCGTCAGACCAAACAAGCGAAATTTCAGACCCTGATGTTCTTCATTGCAAATGCCAAAAGTAGCCCGCTTTTTTGAAGCAGTAACTTCCCTTTACATGTACACTAACGCCGAAAAATTCAGGGGAGATCACTGCGTAAAGATTGTCAAATGACAGGCGCATTAATTTTCAAGCAAAATAGTTCCCGAATGGTCGAATATTTCTAATATTGTTTTATTCTTTATAGATATACATGCTTATAGTAAGCTCCATGATTATTTACATCTGTATTAAACAACAGTTAACGTCGAAATAATAAGGGTTACAAACCCTAATTTAGAATAATATGGTTTTCTTCGATTACATATAATTTCACCGTGGCCGAGGGGTTTGCACGCTCGCTTAGGTAGCGAGAAGTCTGGAGTTCAATCCCAGTTCAGGCAACTCTTTTTTTCCAAATTGTTTAAGTCAAATAAACATGGATTTCTTTGTTTGTTTCATTTTACGCCTTTTCCCAACAGTAGCGGGTAGTTTCCTAACCATCGTTCCTGGAGAGTAAGACCAGTACTAGACTACCTTCCTCCGCGCTAAACTACCAAAGCATCTTCCGGGGATCGAACCCACGCCAGAGAGGTAAATGGATTAGAAGTCATAGACTCTAACCCCTCGACTACGGAGGCGGTAAATAAACATTGAATTGAATATCAGTGTTGTAATTAGTCTTATAGCCAATTTACTACAATTAAACCACTGGAAAGCATTGGTGGTACATTACAAAAACAAATTGGTTTATAAACTCACAACCTTCACCTTTCTGACATTCTGAGACCCAAACAAATTCAGCACCTTCTGTGCTTTGATTTATATTTGTCATTTGTCGCTCGGATGACGAACGACCATTGTAATATCTACACTGATCTTTAAATCGCTTGGTTTACTTGACTTTTGTTGCACCTGGTGTTAAACCTTCTTGAGACGATTTTATTTTGAATATTTCACAGTGCTATACCTTTTTAAAATATCTGTGCCCTATAATCACTATAATTACTTTTACTGCATTTATTTTTCTCAGCACTCGCAAGAAAGAATGTATTCATGTATCTCATCAGTCAACTTTGAGACTGTTCACTTTGTTTTTGAACCCCATTTATGTTCAATTTGCTTCAATACTGCTAAAGGTAATTTTGATCGTATCAATGAAAGAAAATCGTGCTGTTCAACATTTGCCTTTAATACTTCTAGACTTCTAGATGATTTTCGACATTTTCTATAAACATCCTCAATTGTTCAACTTTCAAAACCGGTGGTTGAATGTTTGTCAAACTTTAATAGTGTCAATCCACATCCTGTTGTGGATTACCAAATATTTAGTTTAGAATAGAGATAGAAACATTGCAGTATTCATTGGATAGAGTAAGACCGGCGCTTTCAATGTTTAAAATAACCCAATTAGGTTTCGGCGAAATGGACAACATCATATGTTTTTACAACGTTGAGAACGCCCAGATTGCGAAAGTGTGAAATAAGTCCCCAAATAGACATAAGCATATATAAAAGCAATATATAGAAGATGGTGGTTTATATCTTACGCCCTTACACCACCAAAGAATGTTGCCAGACTTCAGCTTTAAACGAAGCGGAATGACGCCATCAATAATATATACTGACTTATAAATCTCCTTAACATAGGATTTGAAAAAAAAACTCGTAGACTGAAAGGTAGCTTTCGCCGACTGTCGCAAAGCAAACCACACACTTTTTTCTAACCAATTCCAAATCTATGTTTTAGGAAGGAAACGCGTTTTATTGGATTGTATTTTCAACAAACAATATCCTAGTACATACATAACTAATTTTGCGTCATCACTTATTTCAAAGGCATCACATATATTTATGCCGCATGTGTTTGCATTGATCGAAGTTAACATATCGTATTCATACAACTCGGCATACATTTGAGCCGCACCATGACAAAACCAACATAATGTGTTTGCGACCAGCATGGATCCAGACCAGCCTGCGCATCCGCGCAGTCTGATCAGGATCCATGCTGTTCTCTTTCAGTTTCTCTACTTGTTATAGGGTTTTTAAGCGAACAGCATGGATTCTGATCAGAGTGTGCGGATGCCGAAGCGCGGCGCCTTTTATGTAATGAAATCATATTTTGAGAAAGGGCGACAGCAACTTCTCGAACCTTTTATAGTTGTTTATAATAAAAGCCGATCATTCCGATCGGTATGAGGGTGCTTGATTATTAATTAGTCGCGATATGTACAATGAATAGCGAACTGGAGAATTTCGCAATGCAAACATTTTCAAATTAAATAACCTTTTCCGTCAATAAATCGCGCTCTTTAAGGTATTTTTATTTATCATTTTGTAGTAAAAGTGGATTATTATGGTATGTTATTCCGAAAGCTGTAAATAGAATGATGAGTTGATGACCTAAATATTCCGAAAATCTATTTATAGAGGGATGTATCCTGTCGGTAATTCCCGGTCTCTCCTGGTCTATTTTGACGACCGGCGAATAGTACACACGTTATTGTCCCCGGTCTCTCCGCCGGTTTTTGGAAGTAATGTTTGATATCGTTACAGAACAGAAACAAAATATTTTTTAAACAGATAAATAAGCTTTTTTTTCCAAAAATGAATGTTTGTCACTTAGTTTGGTTACAATAATTAATAAACACAGATCAACTCTCAAAAATTATTGCTTATTATTAATACATAAACATACCATTCGAAAAAAAAAAACCAACAACACAAATCGCAAATGTTTTATTTTATCTATATGGAGGAATAAAAAACAATAAATATGAACAAATTAATTGAGAAAAAAATTACATTTTTATGGGGCATTTAATATGACACTAATCCAATTTGAAAACATTTTATTTAATTTGTTATTCGTGTTTAGTAAAGATGCCGAGGAATTAATTCAAATTACAAATCTGAATTTTTTGAAATTATTCAATTGAATTGATAATTTAATAAATGATAAAGAAGAATACAAATGTACACTGTATATGGTTTAAGAATAAACAATATTATTATATTGAAAGATTAACCATTATTTACTGACTTTTTCCAGTTAAGTTTTGACTTATAATGTCGGTCATTATGACAATTGAATTCTTAAAATAATATTAAACGTAAAAACTCAGTATTAAAATAGCGCATAAAAACAAAAAAAAGAAAAAGAAAACAATATTCATAAAATCTGTATTTTTTTTTATTTAAAAAAGATATTACAAATTAGTGTTAAAAAAAAACATTTATGCTTCAACATGGTAATATAACAGTGTCATATTGTTACTAAGGATTGAACAGATACCTTAAAGAGGGGGTTTTCGCTAATAGCGATAACATAATAAGATAGATAGATAGATAGATAATTTTATTGACGTAAACAGTACAGTTTTTTGTCATACAATTGATATACTAAATTCATAATTTTAATCATGTGAATGTTAACCAAAAGTTGAACACAATTTACATTGTCAACATATTGTTTGTGGAGGATGAATAAGGGTTTTTTACATATATTAAATCAA